AGTTCACTAGGAAAAACATTGGCACAAACGATGTCTACATTTGTTTGTTTCCAACAATTACGACCAATGACCAAACAAAGATACATAAAAAAACAAAAGCAACCAAAACCAAAGTAAAAAGGAAAGAAAGCATCACTAAAAACCAAACCATGCATGGAAATGGTGGAACAATACCAATCTAATCAATTGGTTCTTTATATCATATATCTTAAGACCATGCAAAACCTAGCTACCATGGTTCGTATGTTGTCGTGTTTAAGGAAGATGACAAATTGAGCTAGCTAGAATGACACTTGTCGCAGTCGAGTTGGACCGTCCTAGGTTGCCTCAGGTTAATATGATGAGGTAAAATCAAATCCAAAGTACAAATCAAAAAAAACATTGTTCATGTTTTTTGATGAATCATCAAAACCTATCCCAAACATGTGTAGTTTTAGACAATTGATTGGTCTTGCTCTCTGTTTCCTTATTTAGTATTCATTCTTGTGTGGAATTTGGTGTTGGCTGTGGGCACTCCCCACTATACAAAATCCGTACTTCAAAAAACACAAATCTAATGGAAACCCTTCATGTTCATACACTTTTTCATATTAAGCATGAACCAACCCATGTTCATGAACACTTACACATTAATGTATACACTAAAATCAAAGCTTAATATCCGATTTGATTATGAACAGATATCACTATTTAAACAGTGAGTTGATACCCATTTTAATGGAGAAAATGTCAACCAAATCATTTTATATATTGACAATGATTAGTTTAATTTGAAATGTATTTGATATCACTTAGCGGCAGACCCCTAGAAAAAGGGTTGGGTTTTTTTATTTGAAACGCATGCAAATTTTGGGTCAATGTATCTCTTTTGAGCCAATGAATAGATAAAGATTGATTTGAGTTAGTATGAGAGGGACAATTATGAAGAAAAGGGGTTTAGAATATTGTTAGATTCTGTCATTAATCACCAAAATCAAAAGCATAAAGCATTTAGAAAAGACAATTGATTGCCAAATTTCCACTTCTTTTCCCCCAAACCCTTTTTCCCTTTCTATTTTTACATCTAATTGCACTTTACCTACCAAAATAGTTTAAACATTCGTACTCGAAACAACTCAAGCGTCTTACACGATATAATATGTTGATATTGTGAGTTAAAAAGCTCGATTGGTTCAAAAATGGACATTAAGCTTCACGTTGGAATCACGAGATATGACGGTCGTGCATTCAAAGGTTAATGAACCGTTAGAAATAATTACTGGGTTTTGTGAGTATTTCATTGTGAGATCCCGCATCGATTGGAGAGGAGAACGAAACATTCCTTATAAGGGTATGGAAACCAGTGAAGCTGATGGCGATACGTAACGGGTCAAAACAGACAGTATCTTCTAGTAGTGGGCTTAGACTGTTACATTCATTTTGTTTCGATATACTTGAATCGAGGGTCAAAATGAACGGATATCTATTGAATGGTGCTAGGTGGGTCTTGGGAAAACCACCAAAAGAAAGAATGCCTCTTTTTCCCGTTACTTTAAATTAAGAAATTAGCTTTGTTCTTGCTCCCAACCAATCACATGATTATAGCAGCAAAGATATGTATAAAAAAGAAGGTGACAGGAGATAACCCTAAAAGACTCGAGAAATGAAAAGATGAGGACAAAAAGTAGAAGCATGGCTTTGATGGCCATTTTGTGTCCTTACATTAATATTTTAATATTCGAGAAAACTTTACCTTATATCGGGTTCAATTACGCTCTTTTTCTTTATCTTCTTCATCATCGTCGTCATCGTCATCATTTTCTTTCTTCTTTTCCTCCTCGAGTCTCTTGAACGTCACGAATTTCACGGTTTTATTCATTTTGGATTATAGTAGATGGGTATACTGAAAGGGCAAGTCAAGTCTTAGATAGCTTCCAAATGTTTGTCAGCCAAGGTAGATGGATGATCATTGGCAACTTATTTTGCTCTTCTCTAGGGGATTGTTTTTTCTCTTGTCTCTCTATTTTCCAGCTCTCGGCTAACCCTCAAGGAAATCAAGAGACAACCCATGTTAATAAGATCACGCATAAAGAACATCTCATACTGGTTGAAGAGAGAAACGAGTACCAGTGAAAACGCTGAGCTGTGGAAGAAAAGAATTGTAAGATCTCACATTTGTTAGAGAAGAGAACGAATCATTCTTGATAAAGGTGGGAAAACATTTCCAAAAGAAAAAATCCAAAAAAGACAATATCCGCTCTCTGTGAGTGATTTTTTTTTTTTCATTCATTCATTGAATTCAGTCAGCTGGCTTTAAAGAATCTACTGCATGTATATCCTCACATTATGGAAGAGAGAGAATCTAAAGAATTAAAATTAAAAAAAAACCTAAAAATTGAAATAATAAATGTTCAATGATATATAATCATTAATGTTTCTTTTTTGTTTGATCATAAATTCTTTTCGAATCATTTTCATTCACAAATGTTCCTTTGATTATTATACTCGCTCCATAATAAATTTTTCTTAAAACAAAATTGTTATCAAATCAATTGTTTAATTGATTAAAAAATCTTCGACTTCGAAAAAGAAAAAAAGAAGCAGAAAAACTAGCTATCACTCCTTTTATTGTTTCGTTTCTAGTATAGAGATGTTCATTTTACCTATGGAGACTCACACCGAACAGGGGGATTCCCTGTTTAGATGGAGGGAGAGAGTAGGGAACATTTTTTTTTCCAGTTAGATAAATGGGGTCGGGGACAAGATTATATTCCTCGTCCCTACGCCGTGCAATTCCCTGTCTCGCTTCATCCCCGCTCCGTTTAATATAAATATGTTTCAACACCTATTAAAAACAATATATATAAAAATTTTGGCTATATTAAAAAAATTAATTAATTAATTTTGAGACTCTAATTGTAAATTTAAAAGAATAATAAACGGAGAAAATTACACGTAGGGCACTCGATCTCTGCAAATTTCTTGTGGAAAATTCCCACCCAGATTCCTGCAAAAATAAATAGAGAATTTCATAGAGATGGTGAACGAAATAGGTGGCAAGGATGAGGACGGGGAAGGCTTTCCCGTCCCCACCCCACTCTGTAGACATCTCTACTAGCAACTTCACCGAGAATGGAGGAAGAATAAACGGTGTCGTTTTGATTTGATGGGGTGTAGTTGATTTGGAAGGTGGCTTAGTTCCCTTATTTGTCTGTTTGTTTAAGGATAATGGAGCCAACTCATTATATCCTTAGCTTATTATGGGTCATTTGCATGAAGAAGGTGGCTTAGTTGCCTTATTGTCTTTTTTTCTTACCACACGCACTTACAAGATATATACCACACAAACAAAATCCTCATCTCCATTATCACACATCCTCCAAATTCATCCCACCAAAACCCACCCGACCCGATCTAACCCGTGTTTGCAGTGAGCTAAGGTATCGGTCAGAAAGAAAAGAATGCGAACATTTATCATGAATAAACTCAAATTTTCGCTCATTTGACTTACTGTGTTAAAGTCACTATTCGATTCATAAACGTGTTTCAATCGTAAAATTAAGATAAATTTTGATCTTTTTAGTCGACTCGTGGCCTCGTATCGAGAAAGGAACGTGATTTAAATATCGGGTAACGAAAGGGTTAGATAATTTGTTGTAGGTTATGGATTTTATAAATATATGAAGAAAGAGTTTTGGAAAGAAGGGGAAGTAGACAAAGGTAAAAACAAAGAGGAAGTTGAAAGCTTAGTAAATGAGATTTAAAGAGTTTGGAGAGGAGAAAGACAAGGTGGATTGGCATGTGTCCTGTCCTTTTACAAGATAAAGCTAACCATTTTGTATTATTCCTATTTTCCAACAATATCATTCACTCATTTTCTAATGGATGCAAACCTAGCTGCCACTTATATTTATTTATTATTCTTTACCCTACGTTTCGTATATACTATTGTCACATTCGAGTAAAAAAAAAAAAAAACACATCAGAGAACGAACAGGAGAAAATAATTCCAAACAAATAAGTCCAAAAATAATTCCCTAATAATCTTCCTTTTTCCATACTTAAAAAGGACAAAAAGATTATATAATTAATATATTATCAAATTTTAAAAATTATATAAATGACATTATCGAAATTGTCAATTAAAGAATCGAGGTAAACATGACCAAACATAGGTCACCAAGATTCTACCCAATAATAGAGTAATGATTAAGGTTTTAAAAATTATGATAAAATACATGAATTTAGTTTCTATCTTATTCTTCGAAAATAAATTTGAAAATAGTTCTAATGGATTATTCAAGGGAGGGAGTAATGTTAACTCATTTAAAAATATATATATCACTAAAAATTCTAATAAGTGTACGTAAATTATCACGACAAACAGATGTCGAGACCTACCAAAATCAGAATCTTTCAGAAAATGGATTCCTACTCAAAAGATTTAGATTAGCCTCTATTAAAATCCAAATTCAAAATTCAAAACTTAGAAAAGGGTTTTGAAAACCCCAACAAGGAAATGGTATGAAAATAAGAGATTTTTAAAGAGACAAAGAAGTGTGAGGTTGATTTATTCTTGTACAAGAAGGTTTTTGTTGTTATTTCATGGCATGGAATCAAAATGAATGAAACTTTTCATATAGATCTAAACCCTTTTTCTGTTTCCTCGAGAAGACCAAGAGAGAGGTAAAGTATGAAGAAATAAATATATAATTGTGGTGCGACCCTCAACTTGTCTGATTATTCCTCTGATGGTGTGTCCATTTATGAGCACCCATACCCATACACACTAAACTTTTCTGTGTAACCACTGGGATGAACAATCAAGCTGCTTCATGCAACACAAAAAATAATCACCCTACTAAATTCCCTTCAATTTTGTGTCTAAATCAGACGCCCCTTGAAGTTCAAAGATCAAATAGACACCAATTTAGAAAGTGTTTGGGAGAGAGAAAAGTTGTAGTTTGGTTATGAGAGGCACATGCAATGGAGTTGAGGCCATGGAATCCAGACCCCCAAGATCACAAAAGCAAGTTGTATAGTTTTGGTTTTTGTAAATAAGACAATGGGAAAAAGAAACAAAACGTTAAATTGGAGAAAAAAAGCTAACGTTTAGTTTTGTCTTTGGCTTTGGATTTGGCTCTGGCTCTAAACATCACCTTCCACGAGGATATGGATCTTCTTTGGGCACATGCATTTGTCTTCTTTCTGAATAATATTATCACCAAAAAGATTGAGAGCAATTAGAACCAACATGACATGACACTAAATCACATGAATCAAATGTCAGAAAATTCTTCCAACTCTCTATCCACTTAACTAATGTATGGCTCTTCTTCTTCTTCTTCTTCTTCTTCTTCTTCTTCCTCCTCTCTTTTGCCCAAGTCCCTTTGTAAATGGGCTGAGCTTAACCTTGTGAGCCAGTCCGTGTAGGCCACAAGAAGATGGCCTTTTTTTAGCCCAATGCTAAGTCCAAGGGTCTTTTGGTAACCGCTGCAATGAGACTTCAAATCTGTATCAAATCATTAATAAGATGTATGTAATGTAAAATCGTTGTCCTTTTCTTCAAGTTAGCGGTGATCTCACTTTCGAAACAGAGAGAGTTTGTGCTTAATAGCGTGTAAATATAACACGTAGCTTCATAGCAAAACTAGTCACAGCTACAAGTTTCTTTCCTACCAGACTAAAGATAACTGAGAATGTGATGTCAAAAGGACCAACGACGATAAAGGAGAAGAAAGGAGTAGGCACTAGCCTGCCATTTTTTAGAAGAGTAGGGGCGGAATTGAATGATTATGATCTCGACTACGAGACAAAGCCAAGAAAGGAGAGCACTTAGACAATTCACTATAATATGTTCTTCAACCAGCTCTCGACCATCAAAATGATCAAATAGTCTTGTTTGCTAGCTTGTTTGTAAGGGATGAAATTAAAATTTTGAAAAGATTAGGGAAATATTATTATTGATATCAATGAATCACGTTAAAAAGATATTAGTTGTACATATATATAGTATAACAAGTTAATGTAACAAAATAACCTAATATAAAATGTCTACCACATGCTGAAACTATTGGAAATGTAACCAAAATATTGGTGTCATGCCCATGATTGTAAGCATCTTTCAGAGCCATGTTAGGTTGGTCACAGCAATTACTTGCATGGCAAAGGAAGGGAAATTCCATGAGCATTTCAGTTTGTGGGCCGATCCTAAATCATAATGTTATGTCTTAGTATTAAGATCAAAATTCTTTGTACAATTATTATCTTCAGTAATAGAACAAGTATATCCAGCAAAAGTGAATGAGCATATGGAATGATACTGATTCATGCGACACATTTGTATTTATTTGTTTCATAAACTTTAAAAAGTGTCTAATAAATCTTACAACTTAGCCTCCGGTAAGAACAAATCATCTACATACATATATATTAATCATATGTTATAAAAGAAATTCAAAACATTCATGCATAACAAGACTAGTTTGGGTATGGTTAGACCATCTCGAAAAACGACTCTTGTTATGATAATGAATCCTTGAATTGGGTGAGGCTCAATACAAATTACCAGTAACCAAAATTGGAATAATAGTAATATGGCTAAATCCAAGCGATATGTAATGACCCTAAAAATTTTCTCGTACTTGCTGTGTTTAAAGCATGGTAAGAATGTCAGGTCAATAGATTCCCGAAGCCTTTGCCGCAGTGGCAAGTGTGTAGGAACAAAGCTGCTCAATCGGCCACGCAGGTTCCATTACCACCCCAAACAACCCGGCAACCTGAAACTTTAAAATGAAAGCTCTTTCTTCACTTTCAAAGACAATATTACTGAGATCAAGAGAACATAACTGGAATTCTAATTGGTTTACAGAGTTTAATATAAACAAGAGAGTAAAATTCTGCATGTGATTTAGAAAGCAGCATACAGTTCGAGAAACCCAATGGTATATGAAGGAAAGGAACCACCGTTGCTGGTGGCAGTGGTGGTTGAAGTAGAGATCCGCTGCCACTTTAGAATTCGGCAGTGCCTGAAAGTTCGGTAACAGTTCATCTAAGTTTAGTTATCTATTTCCAATAAAGGCGATTTTTTTCCCCCTCTCACCTACTTGTCTGAAAGCAGTACAATTAGAAGTACACGCAGCAGAGAAGTAATGTTGCCATAATTTGTTCTATTTTACAGCTCATCTTATTATTCACAATCTTTGTTGTGTTCTTCATATTCTGTTTTAATACAGAGAAACTGGACAACGCCCATGATCAGAAAAGACAGTTTGTACATTCCTGACACAAATGATTCTTCACGCTCATACGCTCATGAACTAAATATATGGACGAGGAATAATCGTACACTATGCTATTAAGTAATTCAGAAATAAATGAGCTTGATTTCTTTAAAACAAAATGTGATTCTTTCTGAAGTATAGATGTATGGCATGTGTCCTATTTTCTCAGTGATGCAGATATCTTTGTAAAAGGTAAAAGCCAACAAAATTCAAGTTGGTTTAACGAGTTTACAAGACTGCATTGCAATTTTTCATATCCAAATACAACAAATCAATCCCACGGTTGATTTAATCTATTGACCAATTCCATATCTTTTACTTCTAAATTCTAGGCACAGTTCTGTTTTATGCAATTTTGATTAGTAGAATTAAACTAGATGAAGATAAGTCAAAAGCATCAAAATAAGAAGGCATATTAACTACCTAATTATGTATCCGTTATTGTAAGGTACAATCTGTAGAATGCATGTGGGTTTGCAGATGTGTGCGTGTCTAGATAGATAGGGACAGAGAGAGAGAGAGAGATTCTTACAGTTGGGAATAATACAATAAGGGAAGGTGAAGAGACCAATTTGGAGTTTCCTCCAACCAGAACTGCACGCATATCGAAACCAAGAAATGAAGCATGAGATGCCTTGCAAGCTCCTTGCCCACAATTTATGACTGAGCACACAGCGGTACCTGCAAATAAAATCAGAATATTTAAAATAGAATTAAACCTACCTAACCAACCCAAAGAAATGAACAACAAAACCAAATGCTAAAAGCAGAACTTTACATTCATACCTTGGGCTGAGTATGAAACCAGCTCATTTGACTTGTTCAGAATTCCACTGGTTGGAAGAAGGAATTGAAAAGAAATGGAGATGAGGATGCAGAGATTGAACCCTTCCTCCATTGTTTCTGTTGCTAAAGACTGTGAGGAGCTATTCCACTATTTAAAACTGAATGAACACCCTCCACCCTAACCACCCACCCAACACATCTTTGGCAGCGGGTTTTTCTATTAGAGACCAGGATTGGTGGTGTCACGAATAATGCTCAACCTCCAGTTAGATACATAGAGAAAACCCACATTTAAAATTGTATGGAAAAAAAAAAATACATAAACCAGCAAACACAAGTATTATATAAATCGATGCTAGTTCAAGATAACCCTTCAAAACTAATTTCATGGCGTGAATTGATGGCAACATTAACAGATCTAAAATAATACAATTCATTGTTGAATGTCAATGAAAACTTAAAACTTCTTCGTAAATGATAAAGCTGCACAGAATCAGTGGTTAAGGGAAGCAAGGGATTACAAGTGTATAGAAGGCTGCAGTTGGATTACTATTAGTCACACCGAGACAACACAATGATTATCAGAAAACAAAATTAAAAAAAAACAAATCACTCTGCAGAATGGAAAGTGGTGAATCCATTACTATCTTCATCATAGCGTGAAATTTATGCAGACCCAAATTCTGAATACCACTTCTCATGCCGTTCGATGTCAGCAGCAGAAACACTTCGCTGTACCTTCTTCAATGCTTCTTCAAAGTCGCACATGGCAACAGGGTCCTTTGAAATATCATCCTTGGCCATATTCTTAATCTCATCGCGAGTTTTTCCAGCTATTTTACGTCTCATTCCATTCAAGGAAGCATCTCTGCAGACATTTGTTAGATCATCCCCACTATATCCTTCTGTCCGGCGAGCAACATCATCGATATCCACATCAGGAGCCACCTGGTATGGATAACCATAATACATTTGCATCAAGTAAGTTTATGCAAATCAGCAACCATTTGAACTTATGAGATAAATATTTTTCTCATTGACTACGAAATAAAGATTTCTTCCCAAACAATGATAAATAATCCAAAAAAAAAAAACAGGAGAGAACAAACAAAACAAACCAAATTGAGACAATTCGTTCTGGAACTAAGCATCTCAGAATTTCAAAGGAGAAATGGATTTACATGCATAATTATACAAGTACAATCAGTCCAATAGTGTTCTGATACTTATCGAATAGCACTTGGTTTACCTCAACAGTTTTTAGATTTATCCTGATAAGCTCCTTTCTGCTCTCAAAATTAGGAAGAGGAATATAAATACGCTTTTCAAGCCTCCTCCTGAAATAGTAGGAGCAATTAAAAGAAGAAATTACCCAGTAACCCCCAGATAAGAGTAACTTCAACACCAGTACATCTACCACATAGAGAATAAAAATTACTTCAAAATATTTAGTATAAGAAGACATATTAAAAGGACCAACCTAAGTGCCTCATCAATGTCCCACGGGAAGTTTGTTGCAGCCAAAACCATCACTATCTTACGGTCTTCACTGGAGGAACTATTGTTTACACCATCTACCTGAACTAAAAGTTCTGACTTCACTCTTCTGGATGATTCGTGCTCACCAGAAGCCCTAAAGAAAACACATAGATGCATTTATTTTTCTTCACAAAAATTAGGTCGGAGGGAGACAGGAGTAAAACTAAAGCAAAAATCTCCAATAGAAAAGACACCAAAAATCATCTCCAACTCTAATCACGAGAAGAATCTTACCCACGAGCATTACATAGGGAGTCAATTTCGTCAATGAAGATAGTACTTGGTGCATGAGATCTTGCAAGTTCAAACAGGCACCGGACCATGCGCTCACTCTCCCCACGCCATTTTGAAGCCAAGGTGGCAGAAGAAACATTAAAAAAGGTTGTGCCACACTCGGTTGCCACAGCTTTCGCAAGTAATGTCTTCCCAGTCCCAGGAGGGCCAAACATTAGGACTCCTTTCCATGGTCTCCTTATTCCCTGCAAGGAAAAAACAGCAAGATTATATGTGTGACACATGGACACAGGTAATAAGCACACTATGGCCAGCAGGGGACAACAGAATACAAATACATCAACTCAACCAAATGCACTCGGCAGACTAAAATCTAAAGCTAGAAGAAACTTTAGGTTTGAATTCTGTAAAATTTCAATCTTTCTATCAATCATTTGGCAGTAACAAGATAGGCCCTCCTAAAGGTCAGGTTGAATAGACCCCTAGATTGATTGTTGATTTAAATCGTTGAAGGTGAAAGCACACATCAGCTTCAGGTACAGATATAACCAAGCATATTAATCATCATGGGACGAATATATCAGCACAGAGTGATGATTGGTTTGGTATTATTAGTTTACAAATTTATCAGGTGGCCCCAAAGGTAATTCTAGTGAACTAATTCAAGAATACCTGAAAATATTCTGGCATCCACAGGGGAAGAACAACAGCTTCCTCCAGAAGTCTTTTTGCTTCACTGAGGCCAGCAACATCATCCCATCTCACTCCTGGACTAGTTTCCAACACATCTCTTTCGAGCATAGCAGCTAGATCAGGATCAGGTCCCTCATACTGTCCCTTCTTAGAATTTCCCTCATCGTCACCATTCTAACAATATCATTCATTAGTTTATATGCACGATACACTGTACAAACTTAAGATAGTATTCATAATAAATCAATAATTCATGAAATTAATTGAACTAACGGTGGTGGGAAATAATGAATGAAGAAAAAAATGATATTAAGGGCTTCAACAGCAACCTATTCTTAAAACAGTTCTCAATTTTTGTTTACAAAACTGTTCCGATGTCTTGCAAAGGTTATCACAAACCCATGACTTTTGGGGGNAGAATAACTTCATTTTTTTCAAAAAAATCAAGTCATATGAAATAAGAAATGGTTATGTGCATATGTTTCCTCTGAAATATTATTCTGAAAAAAAAAAAACTATTTTAAAACAACGCCCAAACTAGTCCAAAATCTAATGAATGTGAGAAAACAAATCGTACAAGAATTAAAACACCATAAATGGCTTAAACTCCATAACTTTTACGTACAAGAGGAGGGTAAAACATCACAAAGGTACGGAATTTCAAATGCATAGCTCACCACCAAAAGCCCCTAAGCAAAGGCCCATACGAATTGGAACATACGAGCAATGAACTCAAAAGAAGGCTGGATCATATGTCTCATGCAACAAAAGAAGAGATCCACACATGCAGATGTTCCAAGTTTTTAATGGAGGAAAAAGGAACAGAGAAGTAAATTTGGGCTCACAAAACTTACTGCAGAATCCGTCTTGCTAGATTTACCAGTAGTACTAGAGCCTTTCTTTCCAGTAGTCGCCGCACGGGCACCAGAGTTAACACGACTTGGACCACCAGACTTTGCACCACGAGTAGTAGTATTTGGTCTGGTGGAACCACGAGCCCAAGCCCCATCCTGTGGTGACTTCCTCGTACCGACTTGACCAGCCCTTGCAGGCCTTCTACTTGCAGAGTCCCTACTTGGCGGCCTCCAGACATCAGGATCGTCCATGGAAGGAGCTGAAGAAGTTGGATACTCGTCCAACGGTTGAAAAACAAATGATGACTTAGCATGAATTGGAGGAGAAGCTGCACGTCGACCCATGGGTATTTCCTTAAAAGCTTTTCTCTCTGTATCTAACTGCTTCACAACTTCTATTTCCTCAGTAAGGGATTTTTTCACATTCATCCATTTTGCACGCATTAAAGGGTCATCTACTGAACTAAGATGCCTAAAATTGATAGATCAGTAAACTTCAGTGAGAACCATACCGAAGAAAACCATACCTAAAAACATCAAAAAAAAAAAAACGAGAGATTCTGCAGAATTTTATCTCCCCAGCGCAGGAGCAGTATCAATCATCACTTTTGTTTTATCCCTTTTGCTTATGCATCCTTCACGGAAACTAGAAACTAAATTGGTGGCAGTGTACAGGGCATTGTATGATCACTAACCAACAAACCAAAATATGATCCACTTCCACAAGTTATGCTCTTACCAAGACATCATGATTCATCGTATCTCATTCCGCCGCTCTCCAATCTCAACAATAAATTTAAATTAATTTAGAACAAGCCAACGCAGGGAATTTTGGACCATTGTTTACGGATTTTCGATTACCTAAAATAGGAAGAAACGATACCATATTTTCTTCAAACTTTAAAGTTGAAATACGTTCGGCATTCCAATGCTAAAGAAAAAAAAAGACTGAATAGCCACCTCTACATTATTCAGTACATCCGCACAATAACAAAACAATGAATATTTTTCTTTTATTTGACCACACATTTCGTTCAAATTACTCGTAGCAGACCCAAAAAAGTAAAAATCACAACAATCTGACTATAAAAGATAAGAGGAGAGATTGAAACGGTATGAAGAAGGCAAGATGAATCGAATTCAAAGCGGTAAACAGATTGAAATATGAGAAAAGATCGAAAATCCGGTAACTAGAAATTTGAAGTTCTAGAGAGGAAATTGGTTAAAGGCAGAGAGGGAAAGAGAGATTACTTGTTGATCTGAGCAATAACGCCATCAAAGAAGATTACCGAAGTATCATACAGGCCTTCAAGAGCATATTCCCTCGCTAATTTCAGATGGTCCTGAAATCCCACCAGTGTATTGCTCCCCATCTCTCTCTCTCTAGCTGGCAACTCCTAAACAAAATCTTCAAGTCATGCAAATGAAGAAGAAAGAGAGCTTCAGTGTTCCTCTCTCTCTCTCTCTCTCTCTCTCTCTAACAAGTCGATGAAGCGAACGGTGACAGAGATGTATAAGCTTTCAGAGTCCAAGGAATGAGAAATCGGAGAAGAAGATAAAACTACCGAAATACCCTTGGGCTTCTTATTGCCAACAAAAGGTCCATATTAACCTTTGGTTAGAACCCTTACGATTGTAGAGCCGCCCATTAAAAATTTGGTTAAAAGTTGGGCCAGATGGGCCCACTAGAATTTGAAGTTAAGAGTTGGGCCGACAATCGGCCCATCTACTCATAGCCTGTCCACTTGCCAGCTTTTTATAAAAGTTTAATTTAATATTTTCCTATTTAATACACTGAATTTAAATTATTATTTTGAATTCCCTAAAAAAATAAAATTTTAAAATATATATTATTATTATTATGTTAAGCTGTCACATCATCATCATCATCTCGACTAATGCAAGTTCTATTTAAGAATAAGTCCATTTTTCTTCACCAACATGGCAACCTTCCTCTACCGATCCTTTGAACCAGATCCCGATACCCATTCAACCCACGAGCGTTTGGGTTAACTTGCATGCACCTCGTCTAACCAAACATAACAACCTCTAACTCTACTACTATGCTTAATTGTGGTGTAATTTGAACTCAGAAGAATTGTTTTACTCCATTTTTATTGCCTGGTATGCTAACTTTCTGTTCATACTGAGTTCTTGGATGACAGAGACAAAAAGACACTTTCTCTCTCTTGTTCTTGTTCTTTGTCAGTGTCTGAGAGATCAAAAAAAGCAGTGGTACTCTGTCTGTCTCATTGCATTGATCAACCCTACATCGAAACTTTCACTTACATAGCAAGAATTAAAATGCCTCAAGAAACTGAGTAGCAGAAGCAGAGCTTACCAAACTATGCATATAGGGAGAATCAAGACATAAGTGGCAAAGTCTGGTAAAACAATTCATTAAGAATTTTCCAGTCTCAAAACAGGTGTACCAAACTTTGGCAAAGTGAATCAAAGTACAAGATTAGCAGTAAATACATAAAAGAAATCTTGGGTGGCAAGCCAATTCTACATGGTCTTACAGACAAAGCTTCCTTCTCTCAATGTACATTCAACAGCCAATCTCCGCCCGCCACGACATCAATCGGGGAGGAACATGACCAAAGTCACAGAACTATAAACAGAAGCTTCAAAAAAATGTTAAGAGAAAGAATGTTAATAGGGAAAGGGTAAGGATAAACATTAGACATCGGCTTAAACATGTTGAGTTAATGGCAAAAAAAGTATCTACTCCTGGGAGAATCTCTAACTTCTATATCAAGTATATATGTAACTGTTGGCAAATTGTGGATGGTTGGCCTTCGTCTAACACACGGTTCAGAATAGCGTATCAAGTAATTTCGGAGACGACAAAGTTGCGACGGCTTTGAACTGTTATTAAGACAACCGTTCGTGAGAAAACACGGCGTATCCAAGTAACGACATCTGATTTCTCATAAACTTATTCTAATACTCGTTTACCTTTTCTTGTCGATACTTGACGCGAATCGAACTGAGAGGACAACCATTGGTGTTCAACTGTAAATCTTGTAAAGCAAGAACAGTTGGTTTCAGATCTGATGCTTTATATGAGGTATAGTATTCCAGGGTTGAATTCTGTCAGAAAGAGAATGAGATTAGCAAACCTAGTAAGCATTTTAGGACTAAGCGAAGGGAAAATGCATACCCATGGGTGACTCGACTGATCCAACGACCATTTGGAAAGAAATACAGCTGATGCAGCTATGACCGAGGGAAGAAAATTCAAGAAACCGTAGTCGACCAGTGTTAATTCGGCTAGATAGTTGGCAAGGCACTCGAGTTCAAGACTAGGGGTCTGCAAATCAATGAAAGTCAAGAAACACAAGCTTTGCCTATCTAGAGAAGGAAAGGAAGCTCTTAAAACTATCAAGCAATGCATTACAACGACCTCATTATTACCTTGAAAGTCGTTTGTGCAGCACGAACGTATCTCCTGAAATTTAGAAACATGCGTAAATAAGAACACTGTACCTATATAAACACGAATTCATATATGCACTGCCATGCTTGTGCAGCTTGGCACAGCAAACTTACCTGAGGAAAGATTTTACAGTTGGTGCAGAAAGTTGAAAGCCCATATGCTTCAATATCTGACCTTCCATATTCAAAACCTAAAGAAAAGTCACCAAAGAAGCTTTTAAATAGCAGTGAACAAAAGGAGAAACCTACTATTGTATTGTAGGCACACTCCTAACTCTTAAACAGTCCAAATCTGGCCCTAATCAGATGTTTAGAGGAAAACGATGAGCTCTTGAGAGATCCCACATTGGTTGAGTAGGAGAACAAAACATTCATTATAATGATGTGGAAACCTCTCCCTAGCAGACGGAGTTTAAAAACTTTGAGGGGAAGCCCGAAAGTTAGAGCCCAAAGAGGACAATATCTGCTAGCAGTGGGCCTGGGCTGTTACAGTTGGTATCAAAGCCAGACACCGAGCAATGTGTCAGCAAGTAGGCTGAGCCCTGAAGGGGGGTGGACACAAGGCCAGCCAGCAAGGACGCTGGGCCATGTGGGAGGTGGATTGGAGGGTCTCACATCGATTGAAGAAGGGAGCGAGTGCCAGTGAGGACGCAAGGCCCCAAAAGGGAAACTTCTCCCTAGCATACGCATTTTAAAAACCTTGAGTGAAAGTCCAAAGAGGACAATATTGGTTAGCGGTGGGCTTGGGCATTACAATATATCTAACCATCTACTGCTGTTAAGTTCAATTCAACAAACGTAAAATAATAATCTGGTGGAACGTGCCTACAGGACTAGGTAAGTTCAATCTAGAATTTGTTCACTATTTTAAGGCAGACCACGCTAACAAATCATTTTATATCTGATATGTTTCTCTTCCAAAGAGCAGTAAACATCCTGTACTACTTATCATGTTAAAAAATAATATTGTTTCCTTCCCATTTCACTCTTTTCATTATTGCCCTTTCTTTTCTCCTGGAATCAACCATTTGACCATTCATCAAGCAAATGATTAACATCAATTAATCCAATACACGACCCACAATCTTGTATGGAAAATATGTCATACCTCCTCTTTTGTGTAGGTGCTGTCAGTGATGAAACAAAAGTCTTCAACGCGTGGGGAACAAATTTCTTCGTACTTCCTGTTGGACACAAGGACCACCGTTGTTACTTCCTTCATATTCAAATTAATAGAGCTAAACTAATCTTTTGGTATGAGCTTTGAGTTCTCATATTAAACGATATGTGCAAGACACTTCGTATGTGAATAATAAATTAGCTCACATCACATCATCAAAAGTGGTAGATAGAAAGAGTCTATCACTCAGCTTAGAACACAATTTAAACTTTTGGATGAAGTACATCGACAATATGCTCTAGATCTGAGAAACTTACGAAGCAATTAACATGCAAGTGATACCCAACAGTTGAAGCTTTTGTCTCTCGATGTAATTTTGGGAGAGAAACCAATCGACGAAAAATACAGTTAAGTAGAGAGTGTCTGGTACTAACTTGTATTCCTCCGATACCTGAAATCAAGAATTTTGGATCAACCATTTTAATTGTGCTTCTTCGAGATGAAATCTCATTGGAACTTTCGATCTTTCGAGGTATACGTTCAGTAAAATTTAAGAAATTTGGAAGAACTTGGAGATAACAGAAATATAATGAAAGAAAGAAAGAGAGGATTAAGAAAAGGCTTAATGAAGCAATACTAACCTCTACAAGCCAATCAACCAATATACCCCGCATGCTTTGGGTAATATCTGTTTGCACTGTTTCCATGAAATCTGGACGTGGCCTTCTGGTTAGCTATGGAGAGGAAAACACAATCAGTTGTGAAGACAATAATTCATTCCAAGTACATTCAGTTTTTTTGTAATAAAAACTTTCATATCCTGAAGGCACAAAAACAATGATCACATCATCCTAGCACAAAGGTTATGAGTTGATTGAATCAGAACCCAGAACAAAATATTTTGTTTGTCATTGCAAACAGACTGCTTAAACTAAATGCAAGGTCAATTAGCTGAGTTGAAGAATAGCAATTGGGGAATCTTAATGCTTCATTCCACGGGAGGAAACATGACATCTTCAAACAGTTCAACACATGTAGCTTTATAATTTTAGGGTCATTTTGATCGCTTGCACCCATCAGGGGACTACTTGGTACTGTTTTTAAATCGCATAATGTTGAAATTGCTAAGGATAAGAAATAACATCCTTATAATTAAGACCTTTCTTAGAACACATAAACCCGAAACGATCGGACAGAGAAAAATGCAAGACTAAATTGTTGATGTTAGCACTTCTTATTTGAATCCCAACTTATGAAAGCCTCTTATGGTCAATATGATCACGTTTATGCTGAAAAAGTATTGCTTACTGTCAATGCAATAGGTGCAAGATCCTTTTTGTTCTTCCTGAAATTCCCACCGACCATGAGCAAAAATGCCATACGAAAGAGAGAAACAGAAAGTAGATAGAAAAAACAGAATCAACATCACATACCTCAGCAACACGTAAATTGTTGTAGATCTCATGGGCATAGACAGTGCACAGTTGAGCATCTTTGTCATTACAATCGATGTCCATAACGTCCAGGTTGCTTCTTGTCCCCAGAGGCAACACTTTCTCTGATGTTTCCATTTCCAACATATATGTCGTTAGCAGTTTTATATGTTTGGAGATACATTATTCATACTTGAATGTAAGAACTTCAATGTGATTTATTTATCTTATCATAAAGAAGAAAACTCTAAAAGTCAACTATTGATTCAAATGTTGTTTCAGATGTCTCCTGAAAACTCAAACAGCAAGTTTCTTATTTGTATTCCCAATAGAGACTTCATCAAATTCGTGCTCCAAACATGGCTTCTAAAGCAGGTTAACTATCATGGTTTTTGAAGAGTAAAACCAACTTTGTTTAACAGAATGGCCTTAAGCAAACCATACTAATTATTTTCCTTTCGTAGTTAACGAATAAGTT